TATAGTGTAATCTAAAGTTTTATAAATTTTACATGTAATAATAATAAAATAGGTAGTCAAAGATCGTGAAGACTGTTTTGTTCTACCAAATGATGATAAAAGTATAGTTACTACTAGAACTAAGTAGGCGCTAGGCCTATTGAAGAAAGATGATGAATGAAAATTAGAAATCTCGATTTTGACTATTCGCCAGTTTTCGACTTTCGGACGCTCTGGATAGCTAAAAAGCGGCATATAAACTGTAGATAGAACGCCTATTCCAGGTAGCTCTTCATGTATAGCTTCTGATGACCTGTAGCGAAGAAAACCCAGATGACTTTTGTATTGTATTGTATACGGGTGTCATGATATAAAAGATTGTTTATTTTTGATATTATTGATTCATTTATTTTTTGAGTGAATATCTTATTATTGTTTAGTTTTTGTTATAATAAGAGTTAAAGGCAGAGATTGTAGGAAGTTTTGTTAATAATTCATTGATGTAGAGACTATCGAACGTCACATGCAAAACTTTGACGTCGAGAATATAGAAGGAGCAGACGATTAAATGATAAAGATATAAATAGTGTAAGATGAGCGGAAGCAGCAGACAGACAATATCAGAAGAGAATAAACTTACAGCAAGGAAAAGTTCGGTGTGAAGTTAACTATCGTGGAAGTGATAGGCCTAACGATTAACATAGATCTAACGTTTAATATGTTAGAGTAAGACTAACGGTAGAAAAGGATACAAGAAAAATATTTTATTCCGTCAAAGCATGATTCTAAAGAAATTGAATCAGCCTGAGTGCACGTTGACAAAAGGAACAGAGGATCTTTAGAAGAAAGAAGACCAAACGATTCCGGTAACTCGCGCCACAATTGTAAGTGAATCACAAATAAAATACTAATGCGATAGTAATGGAGAAAATAGTTCGGTTTGTCAAATGAAATTCTAAAGTAGTTGAATAGGCCTAAGCGAACTTTTGACATCAAGAAGAGAGCTATATATATAAATAGTGTTTATGATATGCCTGTAATCTCTATAGTGTGAAGACTTTGTTGTACGTATGTTAACTTGTTCTGAGTATATATATATTATTTTTAAAACAAGTAAAGTGTGTGCTGTTTATTCATCGCTGAATTTATCGCTAACAAGTCACAGACGACTACTGTAGAAGAATCCTAAGCCTAACAATTACATAGTATATATTTATACTATCAAGAAATATAAGTAAAAACCATTTATTTTGACACTTGGCAAAACGAATAATATATCATAAATTCTGACAACGGGCGTCATGCCATCCCTACATGGAGAGTACTAGCGCTCTCTCTCTCTCTCTCTCTCCGATAGACTCAATGAATCCTCATTAACTACGCTATCTACTATATCTACATCATCATAAAAAGCAGTTTCGCTAGCAAACAACTGAATTATAAAATTGAAAATACAGCTGCAAGCACTGTGTTGTTGGGTTAAATGTACTAATGGATTCTAGATTTAAGTTTGTTTGTTTTAAATATAAGAAATTATCCAAGGTTGTTTAAACTGTATGTGTAAGAGGATTTTGTCCGTTGAAATTAAGAGTCTCTAAACAATAAGAAACAAAATCAGTTTTTGGGTGTTAAGCACAAAGCTACACGATGGACAATCTGTGTTGTGTCCATCATGGGTGTTAAAACCCAGGAGGGGTCGGAACAAAAGTAAATAAAATCAAATGCACAGTGAATAAACAAAAGAAACGAGATTGAATTAGGCTTAGCTTGATCGATTGGATACGTATCACGTGGCGAATCTGTTATTATTATTATTATTATTATCAAAATTAGGTGGGAGTATAGTCATAAAATTAATAAATTACAATATATATATATATATAATGGAGTAAAACATATGCTTAGTGAATGAGTGGCAAAGGCTAATGTATGCCTTTTAGTAAAAATCTTGTTATACTGTCTTTCCTTGATTACCTTATTTATAACTTAACAGTCCGTGGACTATAATATTATCAGATAAGGAGTAATAAACTGTACGTTATTTACCACTGTGTCAGGTTATTACACTCAATCTGGTGTAATAAATTGTTTAGTATTTACTGTTGCGTCAAATGTTGGAGTTGCTCTAGAAACACCATGTGTTGTTAAAAGTCACGACCCACGTTTAAAAAACGTTGTTAATTTCTCTTGTTTTTGAGTTGTTGTTTTTTTACGTTAGTGTTAGTGTAAAAATGGATTATTTCGCTCAGATGATGTTACTGAGCATAAGAGTAATTAATGCCAAAAAGTACCAAACTCAGTAATCGTAAAACTGCACTTGTATACAGTGCTTTTCAGAGATGCCCAGAGTGTTATTTCCACAGAGTTAATTTATACCTGAATTAGAAGGGTATCCAGAACAAATTAAAATTACAATGATTTGTGTACTAATGAGAAAAAGCTTTAATTCGTGTTCAATTAGGCTCGACTCCAATCTGAGGGTCGCGGGTTCGAATCCCAGTCCCACCAAACATGCTCGCCCTTTCAGCCGTGGGGGCGTTATAATGTGACGGTCAATCCCACTATTCGTTGGTAAAAAAGTTGGCGGTGGGTGGTGATGACTAGCTACCTTCCCTCTAGTCTTACACTGCTAAATTAGGCTAGCGCAGATAGCCCTCGTGTAGCTTTGCGCGAAATTCAAAACAAACAAACAATCGTGTTCAAGTAGAAAGACCAAAACATCTGTATTGGAAGTTGCTGTAATAGAGTTTCGTTGTTATCCGAGTTTAGGTTTTTCACCGTATCCAAGGGTCTTTTAAAACTATGTTATCGTATAAGCGACGAATGGCATTACAATGACCACTTACCTACCTCAGGTTCGGATCCCCGTCACACGAAATATGCTCGCCCTTTCAGCCGTGGGGGCGTTATAATGTGACGGTCAATCCCACTATTCGTTGGTAAAAGAGTTGGCGATGGATGGTGATGACTAGCTGCCTTCCCTCTAGTCTTACACTGCTCAATTAGAGACGGCTAGCTCAGATAGTCCTCGTGTAGCTTCGCGCGAAATTCAAAAACAATCAAAACAAACAAACAATACTCACCTCAGCATTTGGAAAGTCAAACACAATCATTTCTTCTGGAGAAATGTGCCAGTGGGAATCTGATAAACCGAAATGTTTAAGTTCTGGCGATGAGAGTTCCACTTCTAGGTCTTCAACCATGCTTGTAATAAAAATAAATCTCGTGTTTCGACCGATGGAGCTGTCAATCAGAACATCAAACGACTCCCAGTCTCCGCCCACTAGTCTTTCTACATTGGGTAACTGGAATGGTAAAAAAATATATATATTTGATGGGTTCAAGAAGATTTTATTTATGAAATAAGACTTATAATATCTTCTTAACTTCTTTAATCGATTTCTGTAATTTTTTTTGTACACTTACGAAGCGTGAAATCCCGATCCCGAACTGCTTTCGAATTACAGGTTTTCACGAAAAAAATTCAACTCCTTACTGGATGTCGAAACGTAGAAAAGACGACACCTTTAAAAGGGTGATTTTCAGAATCCCCTCAATTAGTGAATAAATATTTTAAAATGTACCGAATTAGATATAAGATTCAAACTTCAATACTTATTCTTACCGCCCCTAGCAAGTCTGATGTATTATAGCATTAAAAAAAGGGGGGATAACAAGGCTGGGCACAGCACATATAGCCCGATGTGCAGCTTTGCGTTTAACTACAAACAAACTTATTTTTATCTAAATAATTCCTGCCCTTTCAGCCTAACAATTAAATTTCATTCGAACTATCTGTTTGTACACAACAAACCATTTTCGTTATTTACAGCTTTAGTTTTGAAACCAGTTTAAACGATATTTAAAGGGACAATCTAATAGGTTTCTTTCATGTCTCTGTCAGCTTTAGTTTTGAAACCAGTTTAAACGATATTTAAAAGGAAAATCTAATAGGTTTCTTTCATGTCTCTGTCAGCTTTAGTTTTGAAACCAGTTTAAACGATATTTAAAGGGAAAATCTAATAGGTTTCTTTCATGTCTCTGTCAACTTTAGTTTTGAAACCAGTTTAAACGATATTTAAAGGGAAAATCTAATAGGTTTCTTTCATGTCTCTGTCAGCTTTAGTTTTGAAACCAGTTTAAACGATATTTAAAGGGAAAATCTAATAGGTTTCTTTCACGTCTCTGTCAGCTTTAGTTTTGAAACCTGATTCTATATCTTTCAGAATCAAATCAGTAGTAGAATGACCGGGTTGGTTGAAATGTTGTGAAGTCTTTTTTCGGTGAATAGAAGATTGGAATTCTCTTTAAGAGTTGTTTGGGTATGCTCTACATGGATGACAACTTTTCTATGGTGGTTTGTAATTTGTAATTCACTTTTGCATGAACAAGGATAAATTTAAGACTTCTGCTCTTTTTGCAAGGAGATAATTTTAGGTAAAATTAGTTCCAGGTGGTCATAGACTTTGTGCGTTTTCCAGAACACACAAAACGTGTGTTATAGGGTTTGTATCATTTTGTATCAAGACGTCTTGAACCTAAGTGTTTTTCTGACGTCGTGAAGTCAATAATATAAGATATTGTATTTGATTCTTTACACTTTAAGGATGGTTTTGAGTTGAGTGTTGTTAGCTTTTTATAAACTCTTTGTCAGTCTCGGTATTTTTATATCCTCTTTGTAACATTTTTTTTTTCAGAGCCTTGGTGTTTTCTGTACTTTTTCATCAATATAGATTTTCTTGATTTGGAACGCTTGACTCTGAGTTAAATTCCGTTTAGCGTGGGTGAGGCATGTCAGGTTTTGTGGGTTTTCTACAAGCTAATGAGTAAAATTCCTTACTGTGAGTATTATTCCGTTTAGCGTGGGTGAGGTATGTCAGGTTTTGTGGGTTTTCTACAAGCTAATGTGTAAAATTCCTGACTGTGAGTATTATTCCGTTTAGCGTGGGTGAGGTATGTCAGGTTTTGTGGGTTTTCTACAAGCTAATGAGTAAAATTCCTGACTGTGAGTATTATTCCGTTTAGCGTGAGGGAGGTATGTCAGGTTTTGTGGGTTTTCTACAAGCTAATGTGTAAAATTCCTGACTGTGAGTATTATTCCGTTTAGCGTGGGTGAGGTATGTCAGGTTTTGTAGGTTTTCTACAAGCTAATGTGTAAAATTCCTGACTGTGAGTATTATTCCGTTTAGCGTGGGTGAGGTATGTCAGGTTTTGTGGGTTTTCTATAAGCTAATGTGTAAAATTCCGTCATCAAATGAGGCAGTGACAGCATGGAGGTCTATTGTGAAAATGTGTTATAATAATAAATAAAGTATTTAAGTGGTTCAAGACTGGCTGTAACGTTTCCATGTGTGAGGTTTTACAGGGCCTTGTTGTAACAGGTGTCTTTGAATATGGTCCATATATATTGGTATAGTTAGGAGCCATTTTGTTACCCATTGCTTTACCGTCAATATGAAGGGAATGTTCGTTGTCGAATTAGAAGTTTTTTAGAGATAAGACAAGACTGGCAAGATGAATTACTTTTGAAATTCAGGTGGATTGGAGAGGTTTAGGGCAGATTTCAGCACTTTTAATTCTTTATCGTGTGGAGTATTAGCTTCCTCAATGATACCTACAAGCTGCCTTTATGTAAGAGTGGATAATACAAGGAACTTCTGCCATGTGGTGTTCAACAAAATCATAAAGATTCTCTGTGTTTATGTTAGAAATTGTGGGTCAGCCGGGATCGTTAGATTTGTGTATTTTGGGTAAGAAATAAAATCTACTCGGACAAGCCTGTTCGGGTGTCAAATATTGGAAAGTTTCTTTGTCCATTTTTTATCAATGATGGTCTTCAGCTAAAGTGATCAATCTCTAGATATTTTCGACAAAAATCGGTTTGCTCCAGTTAAATATAGTAACACTGGTATTATGTTATGCAAAAAGTTTTATAGAACTTACTATTACTTCAGGTTGGTCCAAGTCTGACCTGATTTTCTTATAGAACTTACCATTACTTCAGGTTGGTCCAAGTCTGACCTGGATTTTCTTATAGAACTTACCATTACTTCAGGTTGGTCCAGGTCTGATTGATTTTCTTATAGAACTTACCATTACTTCAGGTTGGTCCAGGTCTGACTTTATTTTCTGACTGAAGTAGAAGAACGGTTTATCGAACTGTTCTGTCGTCCTCTGAGGATCACATGGGATATAATGTGAGTTTCCACCCGTCTTGGAAGACATCTCCTCCAGCCTGGACGAGGCTTCAACTCCAAGAGCCACCGTATCAATAATGACGCCTGAATTCTGTAAATCCTGCCAGATATCGTCAATACACGGACCTTGGCAAGGAATGTTTTCATCTCCATCAGATATTAACAGAAAACGAGCCCCGTCTGTGATGTTCCCGACGACCTAAGAGAAAAGGGGTTTCATCTCTATCAGATATGAACAGAAAACGAGCCCCCCTCTGTGATGTTCCCGACGACCTAAGAAAAAAGGGGTTTCATCTCTATCAGATATGAACAGAAAACGAGCCCCCCTCTGTGATGTTCCCGACGACCTAAGAAAAAAGGGGTTTCATCTCTATCAGATATGAACAGAAAACGAGCCCCCCTCTGTGATGTTCCCGAGGACCGAAGAGAAAAGGTGTTTCATCCTTATCAGATATGAACAATCCCCGCGTGGGATTGTTCCTAATACATATCAAGTTTATTTAACCATCAAGCTTGTAGTTGTTCAATACTGGTGGGATTCACATATTGAATATTTAAAATATTTAGGGGACATAAGTGGTAAATAATTTGTTGAGTCACTCGCGTTCTTTGCTGTGTCACTCTCGTTATTTGTTGAGTCACTCTCGTTATTTGTTGAGTCATTCACGTTATTTGTTGAGTCACTCGCGTTATTTGTTGAGTCACTCGCGTTCTTTGCTGTGTCACTCGCGTTATTTGTTGAGTCATTCACGTTATTTGATGAGTCGCGTTCTTAGCTGTGTCACTCGCGTTATCTGTCGAGTCACTCGCGTTATTTGTTGAGTCATTCACGTTATTTGTTGAGTCACTCGCGTTATTTGTTGAGTCACTCGCGTTCTTTGCTGTGTCACTCGCGTTATTTGTTGAATCACTCGCGTTCTTTGCTGTGTCACTCGCGTTATTTGTTGAATCACTCGCGTTATTTGTCGTGTCACTCACGTTATTTGCTGTGCTACTCACGTTATTTGCTGTGCTACTCACGTTATTTGTCGTGTCACTCACGTTATTTACTGTGCCACTCACGTTATTTGTAGCCAACAAGATCACAGACCTTCAAGTAATTTGGCACATGGGAAATTCTAGAGTTAAATATTTATGTTTTAACTAGGTTACGGAAACTAATAAAGATGTTATTGTTACCTTCAGTCCCATCTTTAGACCATCTCCGATAGCCGTGGAGCCTATAGCATCTACTGGAATTTTATCTTGGATTTCCTTCACGTTACCGGACATTTTTCTTGTTAATGGCAGTGCTACACGTGCTGTGTTTGCAAAAGTAACGATAGAAAGGAACGTTCCGTCCGCAACGTTCCGGACAAACCTAGAGGCGCTTTTTCTTAGTTGATTCAACGACTGTCCCTAAGACAGTAAAATGGCGGTTAATTACACATAGCCCAATATCTAATGAAACAGAAGACACATTTTCAATATAATTACACGAGTCATTTTTTTAATTGAATGAGCTATTTATAATAGAAGACACTAGTCAACATTGTTACTAATGATCCATTCTCCAGTAAAATAGAAGACACGTGCTCAACATAATGATCCAAGAAGCGATCGTTTACGCGATTATGATTTTATTTTTCAATCACTCTTCGAAACTCAAAAGCCACGATCAAAAGGTATGTTTTATTGACAACTATTAATACTTTACCTCTTTATCAATGTGGCTCACATTTAAGATGTTTAATATAGCTTAATGTGCTTAAATTCGATACATTTTCATGCAAACTTTGTACATTTCAATAGAGGAACGTTTCACTACAACATGAAACAGTATGAAAAAATTTGAGTAACGAAAGTAATGTAACAACACATTATTCCCACAGTGGTACAGCGGTATTTCTGCAGACTTACAACACTAGAATCCGGGTTTCGATACCCGTGGTGGGCAGAGCACAGATAGCCCATTGTGTAGCTTTGTGGTTAATTACAAACAAACGAGTATCTTAATGTGAACTGTGCTTAATGTGCACAACGCTCAACGCGACTTATCGAACTTAAGCACATTAAGCCATATCAAGCATCTTTTACAATAAGCGTTTTAGACTGTCTTATTAATTAAAAATTAATTCCATTCATCAGGGCAGTAAACGACTAATATCCAATTAAATTCAGAACGTACTCCGGTTATTGTAAAAAAAATCAGAATTTTCTCTGTAAATTGAAATATTTCAATATACATATGTATATTTTAATGTGCTAATTTTTGAAGCTTGCTCGTTTACCTCCAAATAAAATTGTTTTTTTTTGTGTCAGAAATTTAAATCGGCTTGACATTCGGTAAAACACTAATGACAAAATTTTAATCGTAAATGTAAGATATGTCATATATATTTTTTATGGTTTATAGCTTCAAAGTGAAACTTTCCAAACAACATTGACTGAGGGTGATTCAGTTGCAGAGGTACTGTTGCGTCAGCGAGGTCACGTGACTAGTGTCACGCCACCTGTTTCTAAAAATATCCTGTTCCTTCATGAATGCCCTAGCATTTACTAGATATGTGTTAGTCTTGTATATAAGACCGGCCACGAAGCGACGGAGACAATGAGTAATTGAACTGCAGTCAGAGA